AAAATTTAGTAATTATTGAGTTTATATAAATTAAAAAAAACTTACCTTTCGCGTCCATATCTTTTCCTTCAGAAATGACATTTTTAAAACACATGTACACTGACCGATCACTTTGTAACTTAATATTTCAGTTTATGCGCTTGCGGAGCTACGTGTGCGGAGATTCAAACTGATGTTACATTTTACATTTTATAATTATCGGTATTTAAATTTTCTTGTTATTATTTAAATTAAGGTTTAGAAATTTTTTAGTCGGGATATTCTATTTTTGTAGGGACTATCTAAAAGAGTATTTATTCATGAACTTTCTAAATTAGTTTAGATGTAGAATCTCTGTTTGAAAAAAAAACTACTCCATCGATAATTGCTCAGATGGTATCAAAGTTTTTGATGGACCAGGAATTAATGACGCCGAGTGTACATTCATATAGTATATACATATTCATATTTCATATTTTATTCCCGGAATTTGTAGAAAATTGGGCCAAGTCATCAATTTTTGTGAATGAATGTTGTTATATTAGAGTCACTTAGGACGTGGACTTTGCGCAAAGTTTTACCGACATCTAGTGAAGTCGGTTTTGGTAGGATTTCAGTTATTTTCGTAGATTGAATCAAGTAAAACGCCAAGTAAGCCGCATATCTTTTTCATAATCTTTTGAAACCAGTAACGTACTATTGATCTATGAAATTTGAATTTTAAATTGCAAAAAAAATTATCTTTAAAATCAAAAAAATTGGGAACTTGGCCAAATTTTTAAGATTCTTTGAACAGTACCATATATTATAGCTCTTCGTACATAAGGACATTTGAAACTGGATTGGGCAGACTTTAAAGCAAAATTAGGCCAAGTCTCATAGTTTTTTGATTTCGAAGATAATTTTTTTTTGTAATTCGAAATTAACTTAAATTTTATAAGTCAATAGTACATTACTAGTTCGAAAAGATTATGAAAAAAAGACGCGGCTAACTTGGCGTCTTACTTGATTTCACATATTTTTTTGATTGTACCTTTTTTTCATTTATACTAATTTTACTTGAATGTAGACTTGGCGCCAATTTTTGCAAGCATTCGTAGATGCTTGTTTCGTTCGGATTTCAGTTCTTCTTGAAGTGGAAACTTTTTTAGGCGCATTGGAGCAACTTTTAGTAGGAGACAAACTTATAAATCCACATCACCAAACCACCTGCGTTACCGATATGGTAACGTTAATAGTGTGTCTATAGCTATGATAGATATTAAAACGTGGACTAATGCCAATAAGTTCAATTTACAAATTATAAATTTTCAATTCTTCATACTACAATTTATCCAAAAATTCAAACAAACTATTGTTATATGATAGTTTTAAGTTTCACTTCGATCCCCAGTCCCTATGATTGCCTGAAATTTCTTCTTTAAACTCACTGTGAGATTGATACGACGATAACAATTTGATTTTATTTGAATATTTTTGTATATAAAATTTCTGACAGTCGAAATTTTTGAGCTCGATACATTAATAAAAGAAGTTACACAATCATTACAATCTTTAGAATACTGTTACTGAAATGACTATCATTCGAAAAAGCAGTGGTTACCCTACGAATACATCCCTGGCGGAATAAGTTTAACGGAGTATGCACCGATTTTATAAAATATTTACTGTTGATACACTATCCATACATACGAGTTTTACTTGGTGTATGCGAAAATTATTTATAACGGGTATACACTAGAATAATACGAAAATTTCTATGTATATATATTAGATACATAATAGGTAAACTTTGAATTTATGTAAAGTTCATTTAATATGTATATAAATTTTTCTAAGTATAAATACCTAGTATATTTAAAATTAAGTTAAGATTTATGCGGTATCTTATAAATAGTTATAAAAATAATATGAAGTATTGATATTGAGTATATAAATAGTTTTCTTTAGAATTACACGGTACTCATTTTATTTTTATACGTCGTTTACCGGCTTTTTACACTATATTTGTAAACATTTACTTCCAAATTACTATTATTTTCATTGTATATTCATACATGGTTCACTTTGTAATCACCGAAAATATATAGAACATTTATTTAGAGCTTACAAAATACTTAAAAAATGTATATGAGTGATTGATCAAGTGCTTATACTTGGTTTAAAAAATTTTTATCCCCGTAAAATGCAAATTACATCTCGCAATATTACCCTTTTATTCGTAAAACTACTACGTTGCATTCATTAGTATAGTATACATATATGTAAGCATAATTCGCATCACTACAATAATTATTCTTGTTTATAATTCAGGAACAGTAAGAAAAGGCATTTATAACAGTTTTTTAAAAATGATTTCAAATCTTTGAATCAAATTCTATTTGGATATGCATCATAAACACGATTTAAATGAACACGATAATACATAACGGTGAAGACTACATAAAAGAATTTAGAAAATTTAATTCTGACAATAATTACGATTAGTATAAAAAAAAAACTTAGAATTTTAACGGCCATTATCAAATTGTAGCGTTTGAAATCTGACGATAACAATCTTGGAATATCTACAATATTAATAAAAATACGAAGAACTTTAATGATAATAAATGATCTAGAACATCTGCAATATCAATATTAAACTCAGTCATACATTAAACATTTGGTATTCACTTGAAACGCTTAAAAAGTCATTAATTACAGTTATTATCAGATAATACTAAAAGTTTTGGCAGTAAGCATCACTTAATAACTTCAGAAACTTCATAATAACAGACTTAGTACATCAACAATAGTACTATCAATTTATACGAAATTATTAATACTGAAGTAAACCTTAGAATTATATGAGTATTAAAAATAAGTAAGCATCGTAACAATGATAACTGGGCTAGAACATCTACAATATTAATATTAAATTCAGTAATGAATACCGTATGTTTAATATGTTGTATTATACATAATAAGTTCAATATGAGTAATATTTATACTAAAAAAAATTATTACAGAAATTAATTCAATATTTCTTCACATTTCTGAAGGAAAATAAGGATGAATTTCAAACTTCAATTCGAATATAGAAAAAAATATATATTCATTTTTCAAAAATGTAATATGTACTCTTATGGAGCCGGGTAGGAATTTAGCATGGCTGGGTACTTGAGGTGATCCTTAAAATGAACACAGCATTGAACTTCTATACACGTCTCGTTTCTCCGGCGATGTTCGGACCCAACCAAGGTCCGATTATAGGACCAATTCGAGTATCTTATTATTTTAAGTTCCATAAATATTTAACCAAGTATTTTTTGTTTTATTTAAGTGTCGTAATAATCAATTGGATAAAGTAATTCCAATTCCGACACTCAATTTTGAATTAATATCAGGCACGGTGTATGAAATAAATTACTTATTTCCATAAGAAAATACTTATTTTTCTTTAAATATTCTCGTAGTTAAATAAATTTCTAAATTGAACATTTTCCACTCGCCCCGAAATACACAAGGTTTAACTTAAACATTCAATATTATAATAATTATTATAATATTTATATGTGAACAACTAGAACCCAAGGGATTATTAATAATCCTCTGGGTTCTATTTGTACATATTAAAAGATAAAATTGAAATAGTGAGTTTCCTATTTCATAGAAAAAAAAACATGATTAATATCAAAAAAATTAGAATTATGAAAATTAACGACTTAATTTATATAAATGGAGTTTTCTAAATTACTGCAGTTTGTATACGATGAATTAATTAGTTTTGTACTTGTCCTTGAATAATTAAATAATTTCAATGAGTATTTTTTATTCAAAAATTTATATACTTCATAGCTATTGTTGTATTCAAGTTAAAGAAAAGATTGATTAATTAATTAATTGAATTTGAATTGAGTATTTTTTTGTTTTGAATTAAGGATTTTTTTCTCTCAGTGTAATTAAAAATAATATAGAAGAAACCAAAAAAAAAACACCAGGACAAGTTTTTTTTTAAGAAAAAATAATTTTTAAAATTGCAAGAGCAAAAAGTTTACAGTTGACTATTCTTTTTGACCACAAAACGTGTCAAATGTTTAGACTTTAATTGTTTATACTACCACCTTTTTCATTAATAATATCGATGTTAATGTGACTTTTTTTTGTTGTTAACACCCGAGTCGAATTTTAAACTTTATTCTATACTGATTGGATCACTTCTAGTACTTTAAAAATTATGACATATCTTCAAAGTAATTATTAGGTCAATTACGTTAAAGTGAAAATTATATATTATAGCTGACGATAAAGAAATTATTATAACTGCACTCAAAAAATTGTTTGGTTGATATTACCTATAAATTTTTAGTTATTATGAAATAGTTATCTTAACCCTTTTTTTTATTTTAGAATACTGAAAATTAAGTCTTCTTAAAAAAAACACAGTTAGTTATCATAACTAAAAAAGTTTAAATCAAAATTTTTGTAATCAGTACTATATTTTTATTACCATAAGTCGATAGTCATTTTGACTAGGCTTCTATTGTAATATAAACCAGAAACATTTGGTTTATATATATTTTAACATTATAAGTTATAATATAACTTATAAGTTATTATATAACTTATAAGTTCTTTTCTATAGTATTTAAAAAAGGAAGTCACTATAAAATGTATTTGTAAATACATGTCTATATATATACATATACTTATGAATAACAGTTTACACTGTTATAACTCCTCAGCTATAGCCCACCACACATGCAAGCGTTTCAGCATGTATGCGCTCGTAGCACGCCTAGGCACTCGTAGCGCGCCAAGGCGCTCTATGCGCGCGCTAGCGCTTACAAGACGCGGCGTCGAAATGCCTGCATATGTGGTAGCTCTATATCTGTAATCTTTAATTTTACGTGTATTTACTATAGTTGTATATATCATCTCCTTTATTACATATCTTATTATCTCATATACTTAATAAGTAAAAATAATAGTGTAGAACGGAACCTTTATTTTATTTCACCTAGGATTTATAAGATTTTAAGATCAACAATAAGTGCGAGTGAGAAAGGTAGTGGAGATAGAAAATAAATCGAGAGGAATAAAACACAAATCCCACTGTGTTATATTTCTATGATGATTCTTTCTCGAACTAAATTCTTGAAAAAAAAATTCGTTGACTTCGTTTCAAGTCACACCATTATAATATTTATAAACAGTGTTTGTTATGATTCTTGAGTCCGTGCGGACTGGTGTGCTTTACCATGGTCAAGTACACTGGTTTTAGTATATATTCATTTTTTTTCGTGGAATCGTATCATCGATTGACACATACTCACACTTGTAAAGCTATAAGAAAAATATACATAAACAAAGAAGTAAAACACACATTAAATTTTACTAACACATCTAAAACCTAATGTTTCGCACGTTCGTCGTATAATTAGAGACGCTGCATCTTAAGTGTTAACATCGTTACGCACGATATTAGTGTCTTTTTAGTTTTTCTAAAAGCATTCAGGTGTTATCTCTTGCAATTTCTGAGTGATAATTGTGATCAAACAGTGTAATTACTTATTATTAATAGTGTAGTTATTATTATTGTTCATTGGTGATAAATATGGAGGATACCTTTGTTGCGGATCATTTGAAAGAGTGGGGCTTAGAACAACTGACTGAAGAATTTGATCGTAAGTAACATTTTTGATTAATATTTAATGCTTTATTCTTTAAAAGTAAAAATATAAGTGAATATTACAATAAATAACTTCTGGTAGATAATGTCTTTAAAGTGGAAAAAGAATTACGTTATAAGTCTCACGTTGTAAAATTTTTTCTTTGTTCCAATTATTCTTTGTTAACCTATATTTAAACTGATTTATAATATTTAACCTATTTATGTAGAACAAAAAATTGATCGTGAAACTTTTTTGACTATTCCTGAAGTCTATTGCAAGTGAGCTCAAGTTAATTTCAATTAACTTTACTTAAAAAACAGAATCGATTAAAATTAACTTGCAAATAGTTTGTTATTATTATTTTTCTTCTACCCCCAGTTACCCCATGTATCGTTAAAAAAAAATCAAAAAAATGAATATCATTCATCGACTCAGCATTAAAAACTTTATCGATTGATGCTATTTAATTTTGCGATTTTTTTTTTATGTCACTTGGGGTGATTACTCTATACAATGCTGGTGATCACTTAGTTTTCTTTAAAGTCTTACAAATGCTGACCTTGTGATGTCAGCTATCCTTTCCTATATTTTGAATACATAAACATAACCCTCCTTGTCTATCCCATGGGTTTTGTTTACGTTGTGTTTCGTTTAGGCACGTTTATTATGATAAAATACTCGCAATGAGTGTGACAAGCGCTGACATATCGCTTTGTTTCTCTCACAGCAGTATCGTGCCCAAAGGGTGTTCAATATTTTCATTGTTTTGAATTTTTCCAACCTTTAGAGGTCAATAACTTTTTACCTGTTACAGGTAAGGTTGCGAAGATGCGGACTTTTTTATGTAAAATTGTAGCCGCTACAACTTTTGTTTAAAATATTTTTTCATATCTGTTATAGTTCTCGAAAAAAATGAGAACAAACATGAAAAAATGCATAAAAAAGCGTTTAAAGGGTGATTTCAACCCTTGCCCGGTGTCGGAGCTCACTTTTTTTTAGGGGAAACTAATTCTACATCCCCTACAAATAGTCTATTAAAATTTTGTCCATTTCAAGATTTCACGATTTAAAATCTAATATGACTGGACTAGATATACTATTTATTGATCTATTTATCACGAAAATAATGAAAAAAAATAAAATAAACAAAAAATAAAACGAACATGAATTTAATGAACATTTGATGTTCGATTATTATCCTGACCAAAAGACCTCGATCATCTGCTTTCAAACGATTGGTGTGTTTTAGTAACTCTTGCCCCACCACATTAGATTCCAATAGCTTTCTTAAGGCCTGTGAAAATTCATTTTAAAAATAAAAATTATTTTTCGGTTATTAAGGTGATAAATATAATTATCAATTTTTATCTTTCAAGTAAGCAATGATATTGGCGAACAAAAATTCATTAAGAAAATTATAGTAAAATAGGTTAGTCGGTAGAAAACAAAACAGTATTTTTACAAATTGACACAAATATACAAAATATTATAATAATCTAATTCATGTACCTGTCCATCAGATTCATTCGATGTATTGATTTTATTTTTATCTGATATATTAGTCTCTTTATTCGACCTTACATCAACCTCTTCATTGTTATCTTTATTTATATTACTTTCCAAAGAATTAGTATTCGTTGACGTTATAGGTATGGGGTCGTTTGGGGACTAATCATTATAAGACCTGATTTGATAATTTAATGATTAAAAAACTTTTTTTTAACTTGACTTTTTAAAAGTTTAACAGACTAGAAAATGATTTTAATCAATTTACTACATTCTACGTAATAAGAAATAATTATATTAAAGTGATTATTTTTTTCTCATACTACAATGCTAAATCTACAATGAAAAACTTATTTTCTATTGTCAAGTATAGCTATTTTTAATGAATAACACTCCATGTAGATTTTTTCTACCTTTAAAATTTTTCGATGATAATAAATGTATGTACAAATTGACAATAGATTATTTACAATTAATTTCATTTTTTAGAATAGTAAAAGAGGAGTTTATTTATTGGGCGGATCAGATTGTTGCTGTATTTCCTAATGAAAGACGTGAAACCTATTACATCCCATATGAGAAAGATGAAAGCTCAGCAGCTGGCAAACTTTATGATAAATTTACAAATTTGAAAAAAAAGCTGAATTCTATTAAACCATCAAGTACCAAGTCTACTGAAAAAGTCACAACCACCTTAGATAGATCAGATGTTGACAAATTAAATAATGTGTCTTTGGAGAATCATGGAGAAATTAAAGACTTGTGGATCAAGACTCATTTGTTTCGAAAGGTTGAACTGAAAGAAGTAGAGAGTACCAGTAGTTAGATTAAACTATATCCCATGTTAGCAGATCCTATTGGATCATCATTGGTAAATCATGTTTATTTTTATAATTAATAGAAAGTATACACAATATCAAATTACTATCAAATTATTTTTTAACAACAATATTATGTATACATACCTATTTATATTTATACACACGTATATACATAATTGATGATAATGATCTTAAAACGCTAATTATTTTTGTAACTATTTACAGATTAATTTGGATTTCATCAATTTACATAATTCTGTGGATGAAAATATTTTTATGAAGATTTGGCCTGAATTTAGTCATAAATTGATACAGATTGCTAAGAAAAAATCAGCTTGCAAAAATATCTTAAAAAATCTAGGTAACAATAGATTATTGATACTTAACTTGTGGTTTAAGCTTTTTTGGTAATTTTATGTACTACAGACATTTTCCTTCCCGAACTATAGATTCTGGAATATCAATTGACATCCGAAGCCTCATCATTTTTCCATATTTATTTCGACCAACTCAAGTTAAATCGGAATCAGGCAATAAGTGGACGCCCACGTACAAAGAGCAAGCTGACAGTTTTATTCTATTCATTGATGTAAGTATTACAACATCAATTTAAACTATATTTAAATTTATTACTATAAAAAGAAATATTAATTTTCTCTAAATTGAATTTTTTTTGAATTTATATTTTCATTAATCAGCATGCTTTTCTGATTATTTCTGCTGAAATTATTATTAGGTCGAATAATCTTTAAATCAATTTCTTTTTCAATTATTTCTTTTTTTTTGCTAATCTACATAAAAGTAAAGTTCAGTCATTTAAATTTATGGAAAACGTACATCTTTTCTAAAGTTATTTTTAGAAAATGTCACTCGAGTATGAGTTTACTATGATGCTAACTTCTAATTATTTTCTATGTTTAGCACATGAATGATCTTGAACGAAAATTGGAGGAGCGAGTAAAGTTACTACGGCAACATCGAAATTCATCCCAACCATTCATTGTCGCCGTGGGAAACCCAAAAAAAATAGAAGCTTGCTACGTAATCATAGAAACCGTAAAGTATAAGTTTCAAAATTTTTTCGCAGCGGTTGACATATGTTTTAAATCATTTTTTGCGCTCATTCTAAAATATCCAGTAGAATGTAATAAAATTTGGATTTTCATCGAACGCATTATTTATAGTCTTAATAAAAATTGTAAGAATCCGCCTGCTATCAGTTCATTGCTTTCTGATTTAGAATCAGTAAATACAGAAGCTCCTGAAGAAGAAGATTCTTCTGAATGAACTTAGTTCGTTTTATGTTTATATTAATAATTTAACCACGTAATCAATCGCTAAATTTTAGTAAACTGAGTTATACTTTTTTAGTTGTTTTGTTAAAAAATTGATTTTTTTTTTCAAGTTAAAATGAAAATTATTTGTGCTAAATGTGGTATTATTCTAGAAAATAAGCATTTAGAAGAACATATGAAGTTTACTCATGGTATTTTAGCTGGTTTTGCATATTCTTGTCCTGATGATACGTGTGGTAGAAATTTTAGTACTGCGAAGACATTAACTAATCATGCCCGAAGATTAAATCATATGTTATCGATTGAAAAGAAATGTGTAGTTCAGAAAAATTTACCTGTATTTACATCTACTTGTACAACACAATTTATAGATAATATTGATTCTATGTTTTTGCAAAACGGACATGATTTAGATGTAGAAAACTTCCCTGAAATTTAAAAAAAAAAAATTGATTTGCATAATGAGCTGTTGAATATAATATCTGCCTTATATGCAGACCCATTACTAACGCGAGTTCATATACAAAGATTTCTAGATTATTTTCAAAATTTTTTTGAAGACAGCTATGGAAAAATTTTAAAAGAGATTTGTTTAAAATATGTTAAAGATGAACTAGATAAAAGTGAAATTGAAAAAGAGTTTCAAGATTTGAAATTAATATTTGAACCATTTAATACAGAACATAAACGCATCAATCAACTTGTATCTCATAAAGGTTTAATAAGCAGAAGAAAAAGTATTAGGATATCGCGAAGTAAATAATAGATCAGGAATTTTAGAAAATATTAAAACTACTTGCCAATTTGTTCCTTTGCGTGATACTCTAAAAACATTTATTGAAATTCCTAATGTATTTAACATAATTAAAAATTCTATTAATTCTATAAATAACAGTTCCATATCAAACATAGTTCAATCACCTTAACGGAAAAAAACAAATAGATAGCATTGATGGAATTATTCTTCCTCTTTTTATTTATCAAGATGACTTTGAGACTGGAAATGCTCTTGGTTCTCGAGCAGCTATTCATAAATTGTCAGGTATATATGCCAATATAGCATGTTTACCTCCAAAATACTTTTCTAAATTAGATAATATTTTTCTGGTACAATTACATTATTCCAGTGATGCTCAATACTTAGGCAATAACTGCGTCTTTAAATATGTAATAGATGAATTGAATTACCTTTCAAATAATGGCATAATAATTGTTAATGAAGGTGAAGAAGTAGTTGTCAAATTTCAATTAGCAATGGTGTTAGGAGACAATTTAGGTTTAAATAATGTTTTAGGGTTTAGCAAAAGTTTCTCGGCTATATCGTATTGTAGATTCTGTAAAATGACGAAAAATATTTGCCAAAAATCTGTTGAAGAAAACACCGAGTTATTAAGGAATAAATCAAACTATGAAAATGATTTGTCAAAACAAGATCCTAAATCTACAGGTATCACTGAAAACTCAATTTTTAATTCTGTCAATAAATTTCATGTTTGTGAAAACTATTGTGTCGATGTAATGCACGACCTCTTAGAAGGTCTATGTAAAAATGATTTGGTAAATATTTTAAGTCATTTTATTGATAAAAAAATCTTTACATTAAAAACTTTAAATTATAAAATACAATGTTATAAATACCCTAGAAATTGCAATAAACCTTCAATAATAACACGTGAAAATTTAAAAGATAAAAAGTTGAGGATGAGTGCAGCTGAAATGATGACATTTACTGTTCATGCTGGTTTAATTTTTGGTGACTTGATACCTGATGATAATGATGAATACTGGGAACTTTATAAATTACTGCGACAAATTTTAGTTATTTGTTTAAAGTCAAAAATATCTAACAGTTTTAGTTATCTTTTAACTACTTTAATTGAAGAGCATCATAGTCTTTATTTAAAATTGTTTGGAGATCTTATACCAAAAGCTCATTTTTGTTTACATTATCCTCATATTATGAGATTAGTAGGACCTCCTCGAAATTTTTGGACAATGAGATTCGAAGGAAAGCATCGTATTTTTAAACAAGCTGCTAGAACAACATGTAACCGTCAAAATTTGTGTTTAACATTAGCTTCAAGACATCAGGAGCACTTAAATTATGCGTTTGAAAACGGTTCAGCTTTTAAGGAAACTTTTGATTATAAAAATTTAAACCATACAAAAATTTCTGAACAGTCTTTAAAAATAATTAGTGAAAAAATTTCAGGAGAGTTTTCTTTGGTAGCTCATATTGCACTTGGTAATGTTATGTATAAAATAAATACATTTATTATTGTTAGAATAGATGAACTGCCAGTTTTTGGGTGCATAAAAAATATTTTAATGTTAAATAATGCAAAGCCAGTAAAAACCAATGATTTTGAACTTATTGTTAAAGTATATGAAACTTTAGGAAGAAATGAGCATTTACAAACATATGTTATACCCCGGCTTGGTCAAACAACAATAGAGTTATTGAATTTTAACTCAATTATTCATTATGATCTGCCTCACGTTCCTTATGTAAATGTAACTAGCGAAATAAATATCGTTAATGATTAATATTTATATTAATAAATATAATATTATATAAATTAATTATAATTATATAAATATTAAATGTATATTTGGTTGTTCAGTGGAATAAAAAAAAAATTAAAAATACCATGTGAGAATAAAATATTTTTTCTAGCTAAATTTTTAGATTTTTTTTTAGTAACTTTTTAATGATTAAATTTAGTTACTAATACTCAAAATTATTTGGTATTTGTAACTATAAAATATTAATTATAAAAAGCTATAGTTATCGTAACTAAATGATTATAGTATGAACATTAGTTACGTCAACAATTTTTCTTGTCATCACAAGCTTTTTTTTTTAGTTATGATAACTAAAAAAATTTGTTTGATGCCGTATTTAACCAAAAATTTTGGTAATACTCTGGTAATAATAACCAAAAATTTTTTTCAGTGTGAACAAGAAAAGGATGATCAAAATGCTGATGAATGTAAAATAAATAATATCCCACAGAATAAAGGAACAACACAATATCCTTCTTTGCATTTAACTGATAATGTTGGATTGGAAATGAGTTTATTTCCTAAAAGCAATATTACAGTTAGAAATCACATACTTGCAGAGATCGCAATTGCAATAAAAAACAATACAAGTTACGAAGGTATTCTAGATAAGTTTCGATGGATGAGTGTATCTCATGATTACAACATTATTCCAACATCTAAAAGTGCTTTGTGGAAGTTATTAAGCCGTACCAATGATAGCTTCATTCATCATTACTATAATGGAATGTGTACAGGATATTTAGGTGTAAAATCACAAGCAACACAGGAAGTAACAATTGAATGTTCTGCGTGTGGGCCTAATAGACCAAATATTCATCTTCATTATTTTCTTTAAATGAGTATTTCAGCCCAAATTAAATATTTATTTGAAACTTCGGACATCGTTAAATCATTGCAATATAAGAAAAATAGAAATAAAAAGAATAAAAGCACCTGTGAAGATTTATTCGATGGTACGGAATATGAAGCATTATGTGCTGATAGGAATTTTTTAAATAGTAAATACAACTTTTTATTTATTTTAAATACCGATAGTTGTTAAGTTACCACTTCATCAAATACTTCAGTATGGCCAGTCTACCTTCAGTTCAACGAATTGCCTCCGTATCTGCGAAAAAAATACATGATACTAGCTGGAATATATGTCGATAAGAGTCACCCCTTAATGAATAGTTTTCTACGACCGATTATCGATGAAATGAAACAACTTTACAATAATGGAATTAAATGAAAACACTTGGATTCAGCTAAAATTCTTTCTAAGTTTATTGTTACTAACGTCAGTGTTGATTTACCTGCACGAGCGAGTTTAACGCGTATGACTCACTTTAATGGTAAAAATAGCTGCTTATATTGTTATTCCAAAGGGAAGTGGTATAGTCGGGGAAAATTTATTTTCGCAATGAAGGAAAATTATGGTGTATTGAGAACTCATTCAGAAATAATAATCGATATGAAACAGGCTCATAAAACAAAACAATCTATTCGTAGCATTAAAGGAATTTCTTGTTTAACAGTATTACCACTATTTAACTTGTGCAGTGGTGTTATAGTAGAGGGCATGCACTCAGTCTATTTAGGTGTTGTAAAACAATATACTCAATTATAGTTGGAAACCACTAATAGTGCGTACTATGTTGGAAATCCGCATAATAACGCTTTAATTGATCAGTATCTATTATTCATCAAACCTCCATCATAACGATCAAGAGCACCAAGATCTATTTCTACTTGGAAAAACTGGAAAGCATCGGAATGGAGGAATTGGCTGGGTTATGCCCCTATATGCTTAAAAGAAATTCTTCAAGACAAATATATTGAACATATAGCAAATTTAGCAGAAGCAATTCATTATCTAAATAATGATTCTATAACATGCGAACAATTAAACAAAGCTGAAAATTTGCTACAGAAGTACGTAAAAAAAATTTTGAATTATATTTTGGTGAAGGTTATATGACTCAAAACATACATCTAATGACACACATTATTCAAAATGTAATTGGGGTCCTATTTGGGCATATTCAGCATTTGGATGTGAATCATGGAATAGAAAAATTATTGATACTGTAACAAGTCCGCATTGTAGAGCAGAGCAAATTGCAACTCTTTTTCTAATGAATCGCTTCATTCACAGTACTGTTCGTGATTCTTCACCATCTGAAGAACTCCAGAATTTCATTAACAAATTGTTGAATATTACGAACAGTAGTACTGATAATGATACAGACGCGTACATCTTCGAATGAAGAAAAACAAATGCTACTAGATAAAGTATAAAAACCAGATAATTTAAATTTTTGTAGAAAAATAACTGTAAATAGTATTGAATTTGCCTGTAACGATGATGAGAACGAAACAAAATTCAGTAATAGTACCGTTTGCAATAGAGAAAATAATTTCGGAGAAATTTGTAATATCTTATTATTTGATCACAATGACACTGCAATTTATGTTTGTATTCTTAAATTATATGGAATAATAAGTAATAGCTTTAATACACAGTATATATTCCAAGTTAAGGAAACAAATAATCTCAAATATAATACAGAAATAAAATACTTAAAACCAGTTGTTAAAGTATGTAAATCAACAGAGACTTATGTATTTCCATTATCTAACTGCTGGAAGAGTGATTGATAATTGTAAAAAGTTCTATTTTTCATAATATTTTTATATCATACATAATTTTGTTTTCCTTAATTTCATGTATGTTTCAAATAAATAAAACTCAATGCAATGTATCTACGTAATGTCGTATCAATGGATCTGTAATATCCAATATGTTTATTTTAAGGTAATATAATATGTAATGTAGGAGAAAATGTTTTATGTATAGTAATGTATAGCAAATTTGTATTACTACTTTTCCTGAAAAATAAATTGAACCATTCCTATTCTGATGAATTAGTCGAAAAATTGTAAATATTAGGAATCGTTTTGGTCTCCCAGACTGTAACTTTTGGCCTTCGAACGATCTTTGAATAATTCGCTTGAATATAATGTTGATAAAAACCATTGACAAATGTCGTAGAAACTGCCAGAATAATTTTTGTACATACTTGGAGTATATTTAAATATTCCACTGTGCACATTTACCGGTTGCACAGTGATTATTCTTAGTTCATACTGTGTTTTTACGAGATAAATTTTGAGTATTGATTGTTTTTTCACGATGTAAATATTACAAATAGTTAATATTTATTAATAAATTGCTGTGGGTGCACTTTTAGTATCCACAGTATTTTTACGGTGTATATTCAAAATAATTGCAGTACATATTCTCGGTATGTATTTGTATAACTATGTATATATTTTTAATTTACACTATGTTCTTAAGGTATATACTTGTAATATATATTATTTTTTCATTATATATAACCCAAGTTCATATTGTGTTTTTTCGGTATAAAAATAAAATGAATACAATTTATACTCGAAATATATATAACGATATTACAGTGTAAAAACGAAAAATATATAGCTGTTCTGACTTGGTCTAAGGTACTCTATCGACGGCCTAACATTTTTCTCCCCACCGAATAATTAGATGACTCGAGGTTTCTCCTGCCAACTCGATTCTCGCCAATTAGACAACTCTAATTTATTCCTAGGCGTATACATCCCTTCTCTAAGGGCCTAGAAGCTTCGAGAACACAGACTTTTCGAGAAAAACGGTCTATATTTTTCGGTATTCGCCGGTTACTGCGAGTATTCGTACGTAGCTCGTACGCGGACGACTCTTGGGCATCATCGGACGATGCCAACCCACAGACAACTCGGTACGTGTGTAGTAGCAGAGAGCTCACGCAGTCGAACTCTCTAGTGAAAACCCAGACAACTCCTCAGACATGGACTAACTCACCAGTTAATCATCTATAGTGATGATTATGAACTCATCAGGCAGTCTACCTCTTAGAAGACATCCTCAGGAAGCTCATGTTGGTCCGCATCAGCACCTTCTTACAAAAGGCGCGAATGATGTCGCTTTCGACGCCTCACGGCCTCATGGACAGACACACACACAAGATCCATACACGAACAACTCGCTTGTATCTGTGTGGCTGACGCCAACACAATAAAACTCAGACTACTCAAAAAAATCAGGCTACTCCTGGTGCAGAGACCAGTACAGGAAAACTTACAACTTTCCTGTGATCCTCTACTCATCAGTCAACTCATCAGTGAACTCTGTGTGAAATTTCCGTGAACTCAAGACTGTACAGACAATTCAAAGACTCTCTTATTGTTATTTTTCTGTTACTGTGATTTTAGTGTTTAATAAATCGTTAACTGTTACTGTTAAATAGTGTCAGCCAACTCATTTACACCGTTCAAAAGTCCCGACTGTTCTAGCATCCAAACATCCTAAAAAAAATACAGTCCACAAAGTCCCGACTTCTCACTCAGCCGACTCAAAGTCAGAACAATAGCATAATTAAAATATATATTTTAGATAAATAATTCTCGTGCACACGGAGTATACTCTAAACTTATATTTGATTTACCGTAATACGGTATATACACGGAGTTTATTCAAAATATACTGGAAGTAACTGATTCCGCTAGGGATGTCTTAAGAAAATTAGTACCATTGATAGAGGATAGGAATGTATAAATTTTTCTATGGATAAATTAGAATTTTATATGCATTCATAGGATTTTTCTGCTCGAAACATTACATCTCGGAAATAATATTACTTTCTTTGGTCAAATGGCCTCCTCCACCCTTTATAGCCATCCCTTACCTAACTATAAATCTCGTATTCCAAGTATAATGAAAATCATTCTGATTTTCGAAATAGTTTCATTATTTATTACACCATTTTGATTATCAAACAATCTATGATAGCATGATTTTGCACATCTGTCGTAATTCAAAGTTTCAATCGTTGAATATGAGTACTTTTACAACTTTATTGAAGGTCTGAATTGTTTATTGTATAAAAAACGGAATGTAAGCGTGTTTACTGTTCGTTGGCCATCTTTTATACTTATGATTTAAATCATCGATTTTAACCCACTTCGAAGATGTATTTTCTTTTATCATAC